TCATGGAAACCCTTCTGGTTTATTCTTGTCTAGTTCATCACGATGGACTCACTGATTTGCTTTCATCCTCATCTATTCACCGATCATCTCTTATTGGTGATCCACCAGCATATACCAATAGCGCTGGCGGGGTTACTGTTTCATTTGCACGCATCACTACATAGTATAAAACAAAGTCGCTGTCGCTGTCTGTCTGTCCCTATGTATACTTAAATCTTTAAAACTACGCAACGGATTTTGAAGCGGTTTTTTTTTTTAATAGAGTGATTCAAGAAGAAGGTTTATATGTATAATACATGCATAATATTGTAGAGAAACACTGATAAATTTAGAAGTTTCTAAGGTGATGTGATGTAATGTGTACCCGCGTGAAGCCGGGGCGGGTCGCTAGTCATCATAATACATAAAAGTTATTAATTGATTGACAAAGGAGTGTATTAAATGCAAAATATTTTAATTTAAGATAGTTTTTCATAAAAAAAACAGACTTCATTTGTGACAAAAGCAATAATTTTTATTTAGCAATTAAACTACGGTAGCGATTTTAATAAAATTGGTATGGGATCAATCTGACAGTTAAACTTTCATATAAAAAGAAATCCAAAAATGTTTATAAATAACGGACTTATAAGGTAACGAACATATGTAAAATGCAACGGAATTGAGTACCTTCTGCTCTTTTGAAGAAAGTTGAAAAACGGTTAAAAGAATGCACGTTTTTTTTTTCTATTAAAATTATACTGTAAATATTAGAACTAAACGGACAAAAAAGTCCGTTTTTTCTACCGCCTGTTGTGTCTTAAAAGTAAATCGTAAAACCTGCGGTTGAAATCACTTAACTGTTTAACCCTTCTTTGCATGGTTCTTTTTTTTATTGGTGAAATAAATCAAGGTGATATAATTCATGTTCAAAATTAAAGGAAAAATGGTTAAAAAAATAAAATTGACAGCTATGTTTTTTTTTCTGCAATGAACATTAAAAAGATATCCAGACACGATCAACTTAAAGTGAAATTGTTCTATTATATAATTTTTGGGCATTCAATGTTATGATGGAAATTTCCACCATTATACAAAGAAGGGTTAACATTAAAAATATACAAACCAAGAGCATCCTACTTTTAAAATCACTAAAAAGTAAATAGATTTATTTCATAATTAATCAAAAGTAATTAATTTTAATGTAAAATATATGTTTTATTGATAAAACATTACGATCACTTACAACGTTTGTGGTCGTGATAAAATTTATATCAACATTTTATAACTGATAATTACGCATTGGCATTTGGTACATTAATTTACTATTTAATTAATTATTTACAACTAAATAAAACCATCCTATTTTAATTTAAGATATCATATCAGTACACTGAATATATATTATATTAATTTGGTAATTTTTATTTTACACTAATATTGTATATAACCTTTATGAATTAATCGATGTAATTAAACAAGCGATAATTGTAAATTTAAATATGAATGCGTACTCAGAGTTTATCTTTATTTGTGAATAAATTAATTACATTTTGATTCAAGGACACTTGTACTTGTTATTTAAAATAATAACAAAGTGTCGTGGGGAAAGGGATTTTTAGCAATTGAGTTTGACAGCCCCATTGCTAGCAATATACCCTATTAGGTTGACCTCCACGTGCTTCCCCCTGGAAACCATGGTGAAGAATTCTTGTTCAATTCGTGACGATGGGCTAACTGACCTATTTCATCTTCATCTGTCATCCTTCACTGCCCCGCCGGTGTACTATTTCATTATCACCCATCATAAAATAAAATGTCTTACATATATATATATATATATATATATATATATATATATCATATATCATATATTTTTATCTAGAAAGGAGGCTAATATTTATCTAGCATTTGATTTGATTACATACCTACCTTATTTCATACTAATATGTTAAGCTATTTAATACTTTTTTCTAGTTAATTCATAGTAAATATTTCACAATAGACCAATTGACTTGACATTATTTTCAACCGGCTTTAAAAAAGAAGGAAGTTCTCGATTCGATTGTTTTTTTTTTACGTTCGTTACCTCATAACTCCATCAGTTGCAAACTGATTAGGAAAATACTTTTTTTATTATTTAAAATATACTTTTAAATTGACTTTATAGAAATTTTATCTAAATCGGTACAGTAGTTTAGATTTTTGGCATAAAAAAAATCTGTAATAGAGAATTTATACAAATTTACAAAATGTTTAATATAATTTATATTTACGCTATCACTCTAAGGGGATAGTCAGGTTTCTATAAGTAGATGAAAATTGTATGATACGCAATCAAGATTTTGTAACGAACTCTAATTATATGAATACAAGACTAATATATATACAAGGCCACCTGTCAAGTTATATGCCAGGAATCGCAGACTATATTACGTACCTAATGCCTATCAACTTTCATAAACACACACACATACACATATGTATTTAGATTATACACAAATATAGTTACCCACTAATACACATTTTAAACGAGACCTAATTCATGAATCATGAAAGGTCAATACAAAAGTTGACTTAAACGAACTTGATTCTGATGATATCTTAGAGTTCGCGATCTTATGTCAAAGCAAATGAGCTGCTATTTGGAAACCGTTTGCTTAAAACAAACATAGCATTTATAGTACAGATTACATATAGATACAGATAAATTATATAAGTTATAGATAACCTCTGTAGTGTAGTAGTAGCCACAATGCCTTGCATAAAATTGGTTACCGGGTTCTGTACTCTATTGATCGACTCAATTAATATAATATATTCACGTACTAACACACTGGAAATATAATTATAAAAAACTACACAAGAAATATTTGTACGTGCGTAATTGAAATTGCAAAATTAGCAAAAATTCAGTTTTCTTTTTATACAACTTAGAATGACAAACAAGCTGACGGCCCACCTGATGGAAAGTGGTAACCGTCGCCTATAGACATGAGTAGTACCATGAACATAACAGAGTATACTGTTTCGCCCATGATACCCCCCATGCGTTGCCATTCCTGAGGACTCACATGTTTGTCCTCTGTACCCAGTAAATTCACGCCATATCCCACCCTCCAACTGAAACACAGCCATGCAAACACAACTGCTTTACGGTAGAAACACTAATGGGACAGAAATACACAAGCAATCGACTTTTGTACAAACTCTCCCTCTGGAAGACGTATTTGTTATAATTTTTATTACAATTCGTGGACGTTTAGAACTTTATTTAGATTGAATAAGATTTTTTTTCTACCAATTCATGTATAAAACATTTCTAATGGTTTCATAATATTGCACTTAAAAAGTTGAATATTTAAATGGTAGGTCTTTTTATTTCTTTCTTCATTAAAGTGTTGCCTCTAGTCGGTGCAACTAATTCATGCATTTTTTTAGCTAGCTTTGTCCCTTGCTGTATCTTTGTCCCTATATGACATGACACCTAGTTTGTCCTTTATCTGTCCCACGTAGTTATTCTTCGGCTTTTCCTTTCATAATAAATAGAGCGGTTATATTTATTGCATTAAAAAAAATCGTTTTAAGGATGTCATTTGCACTTGCCCCTACGCGCGTCTTGTGAAGCTGTTAAGGTCATTTGCAGCCACCAGTAACCACACCTCGATTAGTCAGGGAGCGTTTGGCGTTACAGTCACATAATATTTCCCCCATAACACATGCATTTTCCACGGTTGTATCACATCCAGAGAGAGACTTTGTACAAAAGTCGATTGCTTGAGTACCTCTGTCCCATTCATGTTTCAACCGTAAAGTAGTTGTGTTTGCATGACTGTGTTTCGATTTGAAGGGTGGGATATGGCGTGAATTTACAGTGTACAGAGGACTAACACCTGAGTCCTCAAGAATGGCAACGCGTGGGGGATATCATGGGCGAAACAGTATGTGTGTGTACTGTTATATCCATGGTACTGTTTATTTCTATAGGCGACGGTTACCACTTTCCACCAGGTGGGCCGTCAGCTTGTTTGTCATTCTAAGTCGTATAAAAAAAGGAGGGATTGAGCTAGGGAAATTTTAGTTTAATTTCCTAAGTCTTCGAAACGTTACGTTACATTATGTTACGTTACGTTAGCGTTACGTCATGTTACATTTAGTAATTATACTTCTTTTCATTTAAGAGTTTCCTCTTGTCGGTGCAACTAATTCATGCATCTTCCTCCAGCCAGCTCTATCCCAGGCCATATCCTTTATTTTCCTATACGACATGATGCCTAGTGTTTCCTTTATTTGTCCCATGTAGTTATTCCTCGGTCTTCCTCTTCTTCTTTTGCCCTCTATCTTTCCTTCTACTATGCTCTTAAAAAAATCGCCATGTCGTATAAGGTGGCCCAGCATTTTGCCTCTTCTATTCTTTATTATTTCAACCTATGTTCTCTTCTCGTTCACTCTTTTTAGGACTTCATTATACATAAATTTTACAAAAATAAAAAGGAAATTATACATATTTTTTTTATATTAATTATTAAATAAAAAAATGGAAATGTTCAGTCATTATTTCAATTTGTAATTATTAGTACAATGTTTACATGAAAGAAAATGTATGAATAATCGTATGGAAAACTGTAAAATATGGCTTCGTTAGCATCTACACACGTGCAAAGCTAGGGCGTGTAATAAGGCGTAAATATTTGTTTTGTGTGTATCATAAAAGTGGACTAGGGGCAAGGGATGGGCAGTAACGTCCCTCTTAAAGACATCTCTAAAACCTGATTGCGCTTGCCAATCCATCTGCCAAGCGTGGCAACTACAGGCAAAACCTCCCAAGAGGATGCTTATGTTCAGCAGTGGACAGTTAACGGCTGATATGATGATGATGATGAAGTATTTATTTAAACTATTTTATACATAAAATCAAAGTTACGTCTTTATTTTATCAATCGTAATAATAAACTACTACTATGGCGTGATGTTATTGACCTTACCCCTGACCATGCAATCAATTAACACAAAACAATGAAACCTTCATTGCAATATTCATCAAAAATAAATGAATAGCATCTAATATATGTAATTCAAACTTTATCACTATTTGTTCCTCGTACCATTACAATCGATGTAAATTTATTTTTATAGATTTATATAACTCTTGTTCGCCCTTGACTTTTATTGCGTACGTATAAATCGAAAATTTTCAAAGCATTTCGTGATGATAGCGATTACACAGATCCAGTAATTTGTTTGCTCGTTTCATTTGTAACAATTCAAACTGAACACAAAATTGTAAATTTATTCATGGAGAAACTTATAATTAAATAGGATTTGAATATAGAATGACTAATGGATGGATTATATGAATTTCGAATGGATAATAATATATCTACCTTATTTTTATGCAATAGTTTCTTACAGACAAATAAAATGTTAGTTCTATATACTATTGCATTAAATAAAATATATAACATATATAAATATTTAAACCTTTTTTGAACTGCAGTGAAATAACGTGCACTGTACAAAGAATTATCTTAATGTTAAAGTTAAAAACAAGCGAGAGAAAAAATATTAGAAAAAATAAAATAAAAAATTCAATAAAAAAAAAAAATAAATTGTATTTACACAATAATTTATTAGAACGCTATATTTTTACACATTTCCATATAAGTACATTTTTTAATCATAATATGTTCAAACGTTTTACAGATTATAAATAAATACATAATATATTTAATGTATTACTTACATTGAAAACTTACAAACTAGAACCTCTTCGGAGAATATAAATTGATAAAGAAACCTCTAATGGAAATCAAACCCCTGTCGTAGGACTAGTTGAAGTAAGATTTTATTAAATCGTTTATTGTATTAATTTTATGATATATATAATATATCCATTATGAATACTTAATTAAGGCACTTTATAATTATAGTACTTTACCACAAAACTGTTCTTGAAAGTCTATATCTAACACCTAATGGCACTACACACTTAATAATGATATCCAGTTTGTTGGTCAAAGCTAGGAGGTTTCCTGGGCCCACCAAAGACTTCACCTTTACCGGCAAAACTCTGTGTGGAGCTCTGACCAGGTTGGAAACTTTGAGCAGTGAAACCGGAATCTTGAGTTCCGAATCCTTGGGTAGTGCTAAACTGAGAACTTTGTGTAGGTTGAACTCTCGAGTTACCTGATGTACAACAGGGTTTATTGAATTGATCTGTGGAAGTTTGTTGATTATTAAAACCCTGGCCAATATTTCCAATAGGTCTTGGTGTTTGTCCAAGTCCAAATTGGGGCCTTGTGTCTTGGGAACTACCTGGGAAATTTGCAGTATTAAACTGATTTCGTTCCGAATTCGTCTGAATTTTGGGACCATCTGTACTTTGAGCAAATTGGTTATCCATTGTAGGTCGTATATCGTCAAAAGGTCTGACAGACTGACTTCCAAATTCAGGTCTAGAGGGTTGAATTTGATTATTAAATTGACTCTGTTGTGCATTTTTAACAAATTGAGGCCTGGATTGTTGTACACCAAACTGTGATATTTCTTGATTTGGCTGTGACTTTGTAAAATCATTGGAGTTTTGTTCACCTTGTGGCCGCCCAAATTGCGGTCTGGATGACGATGAACTTGGATTAGGTCTTTGACTAGATTGTTCAGATTCTGAATTCTCCGTATTCGTAGGAGCTGGTAAAGTTGCAGCAGGCTTCCTGTATTCATATATTTCTCCATCATACTGTTGACTCGATATTGTTTGAGAAGAATCATCTTTGGGCGCTTCAGGTCGATTTACATTTGCTGATGGCCTTTGACCAAACTGAGACTGTTGATTTTGAAAAGAAGTAGACTGCTGTCCAAATGGACTACTAGAAACATCTTTAAATGATTGTGGAACTGTTGTTGGTCTAGCAAAAAATTTTTGTCCAGGAATATGTGGTGCATTACTAAACTGACTAAATGGCTGTTGCGTTGGCCTTTGGCTAAAACCAGACTGAGTAGTCTGTCTATCGAACTGAGTTGAAGCAGTGGGTGCTCTAGAAGAAAATGATGATGCAGATGCCTGAGTTATACCATTGAATGACGGAAAAGCATTACCTTGTGGTGGCAATGTAGGTGCAATAGGCGCTAAAGTTGGTGGGCTAGGATATCTAGACGATCCACGGTTATATTCATTTTGTCTTTGGAAAGAATTAACTGGGAAATTTTGCTGAGGAGTATTTAAAGTTGGACGCTGCTTTGGTTTATTAAATTGACTTTGACCCGGAAATCTTGAACCTTCGCTTTGTGAAATTGGAGTGTTAAAAGTCTTCGATGGTTGATTATAATAATATGAATTATCAGGGCCCTGAGCTTGGATAGTCGTTTGGCTGAAAGTAGGTCTTTGTGTGCTAGATGAAAACTGTACATCGGTTATTTGATTTTGTGTGAAACTATCTTGTTGAATTTGAGGATTTTGGTTTGAAAACTGTGAAGATTGACCAGCACTTAATTTAGAAATCGGTCTCGAGTTAGAATCAAAGTTTGGACGTTGAGGGGTTGAAGTTGATGCAAAAGCAGAGGCAGATGATACGGTAGGAGATTGTACTGGAAATACTCCATTTGTATTTGAAGGATTTTCAAAGTGCGACTGTGTTGGACGACCGTTAGTAGATTGAGAACTATAATGATTAAAATTCTGTATCTGCTGATCAGCATTATTGTTCTGTACATTAGGTGTTGATTCAAAGGGAGTAGTCAATTCTGTTTGTGGTTGAGAAGTTGGTTGTTGCGACTGTTCGGAAAATATGGCACTAGGCTGGCTTAATTTTGTGTTAGGTCTATTAAATGCGGGCCTAGAAGTAAGGTCTGTTTGAGATTGTGGCAATTTAGAAGTAGAAGAAAATCTATTAGGCGTTACTCGGTTAGAAAATTGGAACTGGTTATCTTGCGAAGATTCGATATCTTGAGAATTATCCGCATTATTCTGAGATCCTGAGACAAAAGCTGTTGCAGAAGTACTTGAAATTTGAGGACGACCATTGCTTTGTAAGGGCGCTTGGAATGAATTCTGGGAAGGTCTTCTATTTTGATGAACATTTGAGGGGGGTAAATATTCATTATTGGTACCAAAACCATTATTAGAGTTGCTAGACTGGGTTTTAAAATTATTTACATTATTTGCAGATTGACTAAAAACGTTGCCAGTAGTTGGTCGTCCATTGAATGAACTTTGTGTATTAGCTCCCGGCCTGTTTATACTTGGTCTTGCAAATGTTGGAGTTCCTTGAGCATTGCTTTGATTAGAATCGCCATTTAGGAAGGTTCCAGAAGATTGAGTATCTAAATTGTTTTCTTGGGTAGAAACTAACGATTGTTTATTTGGTTCAAAAGCGCCATTAAATTCTTGAGTTTTACCATCCTGAGCTGGCCTAGAATTTTGTTGGAATGAGTTGACAAATTCATTTGCAGACCCAGCTCCTGTCGGTCTGTTTTGGTTAAATCCATTTATTGTATTAAAAGATCCGAATGTTGAAGGTACATTGGTCGATTCACGATTATCTTGTCCAGGTAAATTATTAGAAGTCGGTGTACCAATTGGCTGATTGTTCTGATTAATGAACGTGCCACTTGCGGTCGCATCAGATTCAGGTCGAGCTCCAAACCGAGATGGTTGTCTAGCATTGTGTTCTCCATTACCCGCGTCTGTGTAATCGCCTCCAGCATTGTATTTCTGAGCGTCGTACGAGCCTGTAAATAAAAAATGAAAGTTGTAAGTCATTTGTCAACGCCTCAGTACGAACGATCAGTCGGCAATAACATTTATCACGGAGCACAATAGGCTTTAAAGCTAATCTGTAGCGTCAGACATTTAGTGAATGACATAACTAGATATCTTTATCAATATTGGGAAATGGTTTCATGTAATTTACTTAAAATCGACGATTTCGTATTTTTTTTTTAACAATAATAATGATACAATTTGTATACTGATTTTTTTTAATTTATTTTATCAATTTTAATTATTATTTAATGTAGTGTAGCAGTTAAAGACCCTACCTCATTGTTGGCTGACGGAGATATTTGATTATGATTGATTAACCAGGATAAACGTAGCCTGTGCACTTCTTAATTACGTTGATCCATTAACGCGTCAAAAAGTACCAAACAAACTATAATTCGAATTTTATATGAGGTCACAAAAAATTATATTGTATCATTTTTTCTATATATACATAAAAAAGATATTTTGTGATTATTTTGTGATTAATCCTACACTTAATTCCAAAATTATTTAAAAAACAATAAACAAAAATTAACAAAAAGTAAATATATCACTCGTTTTGACCTTGGCACTGATGTTTAGTGGCACCAATTTGTAGAAAAGTAAGCATCGCTTAAAATCGATAAAAATTTACACGTTAACAAAAATAACTGTAACAGCTTACTTATGTAAATCTATAAATTTATTATCTGGATTGATATATATGTATCAATTTTTATTGCAATATGGATTTTAGAACGATATATAATTTATTATTACTACAATTTACTACATTTGGCTTTTTTTTTGGGTGATAATGGAATGGCGGGGCATCAGTGAAGGATGATAGGTAAGGATGAAGCAAGTTAGGTAGCCCATCGTGACGAATTCAACAAGAATTGTTCATCCCTCGACTATAAGCTCTCTTAGTCGCCTCTTACGACACCCACGGGAAAGGAAGGGGTGACCTATTCTATGCCGGGACCTACACAGCTACTTCTGTATTACACGGCTAGTACTGTATAGATATATGAGTGATATATTACTATTTTGGCCGTTAACTGTCCACTACTGGACATAAGGCTTCCCCATAAGAGGAGTTTTGCCAGTAGTTTCCACGCTTGGCAATCGTAGTCAGACTTTTAAAGATGTTTTAAGGGGGACGCTGCTGCCCAATCCCTTAATCGCCTCTTACAACACCCACGGGAAAGGGAGGGGTGGCCCATTCTATGCTGGGACACATGGCGTATGAGTGATATATACAATTTACCAATTGCACATACTATAATTATACCGTTTCTTTTAATAAGCAAAGCATGACCTTCAAACTGTACAGTACAATTTTCTATACTCATTTTCTCAAGTAATGATATGAATTAATTATACACCATACATAAACACCAACGAACAGATAATTAAAATCTTCATACATATAGTAAAATTTAAATTTAATTTTGTATAATTTATCAAACGAAGTAAATATCTCAATTTTTCAAAGTCATGTTGAAAGATTATTATTGATTTTTTTCAATTTGAATGATTTATAAACTATAAGTTTACTGTCCATGGTGCTCCTCATGTCTATAGGCGACGGTTACCACTTTCCATCAGGTGGGCCGTCAGCTTGTTTGCTATTCTAAATTGTATAAATAAAAATAATTTACGTAAGTGAAAATAAAAATGTAATTATTTACATAATAAACAGATTTTCAATTAACATAGCTAAGATAATATCCCTATTATCTGTCTCAAATAAGTAATCAAATAAAAAATTGAGTTCGACAAAAACAAAATATACTCCTATTGTGGGAAATTCAATTATTTTTAAATCATAACTAAATTACTGTACCGATTTTAATGAAATTTCTATGTGATCAATCTGAAAGTATATCCTTTCAATAAAAACAAAAGTATTTTCCAAATCGACTTATACTTTAAACCTACTATAACACTCCTTTTGCCTCTTTCTGCTCCGTCAATAACATAATAGTCACTTTTCTAATGGATGATAATGTAATGGGAACCCCGCCTGCGCTATTGGTATACACTGGCGGGGCACCAGTGAGCGATGATAGGTGAATATGAAGCAGGTCAATTAATCGTGACAAATTCTACAATTAATCAGTCATTATAATTTCCGAGAGAAATCGCGAAGAGATCGATCTAGTGGATATTGGTAATAACATTGCTAATGCCCATATGTATGAAATGTAAAATGTGAATAGGACTCTATTTTCCGCGCTTAGCCTCTCATTTGGGCCGTTGTGCGTATGAGTCGTGGCTAGTACAGCCAACCTAGCTCCGCCCAGAAGTGCAGAAGCATCCTGCGATCTTCACAGGCCTCACGGAGCGACCTCACCGTTCCGAGGATTTCTAAACGTTGACGGGCCACAGCTTCACATTCCAGGAATACGTGAGCAGCCGTTTCTTCGGCGTCGAAACAGCCTCGACATAGAGGGCTGTCTGGCTAATGCCCATTACTAACAATCTCTTTTCCACCCTATAGGCGATAATTACCACTTTTCATCAGAACGACCGTCAGCTTGTTTGCCATTCTAAGTTGCATAAAAAAAATATTTCGATATACTGTGCTGTTCTCAACTTCAACATCATAATTTAAGCTGGTTCCCGGACACATCAGTAAGTCGGTCGTACCGCATTTGTCGCGAAACATCGTTACGTCCGTGAGAATTGAAACAATGGCGATACTAGCTTAGACTGTTTTGTACTGAAACAATAATGTCGAACTATAAGGCTAGATTCACACTTTAACTGAGCTACTATGAATGAATAAATAAATAAATAAACTGTCAATCACAGTTTATTTTCAATCTGATAAGTATATAGTGTATAAGTGATATACATATATTTTTTTAATATACTTTATATATGTATGTATGTATGTATGTATATATATAATAGTACATAAGTGTATATAATGAGTAGGGATATATATTTAACATTACTACATGTATCGTATCCCTATATTAAGAAATAATAGAATTTCATTATGCCTCCGATCAAACTGTTTATAATTACTCCTCTCCATCCAAAGATTGCCTGGAATTTTAGCGATAAGGTCGCCCATTGTTTTCTCATTGTTATTATTCCTTGTAAATGTTTATATTTATAATAAGTTTACTATTGTAATCTTTTGGAGGAAACAATAAAGAGTATCTATCTATAATAATGCCAAGCGTGGCAACTACTGGCAAACCTCTTAGCTGCTATAATTATTTTTTTTTTTATACAACTTAGAATGGCAAACAAACTGACGACCCACCTGATGGAAAGTGGTAACCGTCGCCTATAGACATGAGAAGTACCATGGACATAACAGAGTATACTGTTTCGCCCATGATACCCCCCCATGCGTTGCCATTCCTGAGGACTCAGGTGTTATTCCTCTGTACCCAGTCAATTCACGCTATATCTCACCCTTCAAAGCGAAACACAGCCATGCAAACACAACTGCTTCACGGTTGAAACACGAATGGGACAGAGGTATCCAAGCAATCGACTTTTGTACAAAGTCTCCCTCTGGTAATAATAATTTTATTTGCGTAAATATGGTTGAAATAGATATTAATTAGTATTATAGAATCACATATTTAGCCATGTTATTTTAATGGCGTGTAAAATATAGTCTGATTTAAGTAAGTAATAATTTAATTGATCTTATTGTTCATTTCTTTAGTTTTTTGTTTTTTTTTTTTGTTTTTATAAAATATTGTACTTTATTTCAAACACAATTGTGATAGTTATGTGAATAAATGTATATGAATCATATATATGAATAAGAGAGAAGGGTTGCAGGCGTCCATAGGCTACAGTAACCGTTTATTATCAGACGGACTATATGCTTGATTACCACCTTTGTGGCATAAAAATAAATTGCATTTCTTTTTTGTGCAAAGGAATTAACAGCCTACCTGATGAAAATTATCAATCTTCGTCTATAGATTTTTATGACGCCCATGATACGACCTTTACGCGTTGCGATTTACTGTTTTCATAAAACTTCTTGTGTATTATGCGACATATTTTTAATAGCCTATTTTTTTTTTTCATCACGCTAGTGAGCAAGGACCCTTTATCTTGCTAGATATTTCTCTAAGTGAAAGATGACAGTTCTGTTTCGAAACCAACATATATACAAAAAAAAAGTTAAATGTGTAGACAACTTTATTGTAAAAATTAAAATTAAAATCACGCATCACTTTAATTTGATAAAAGTCTCTATTCTAACCGACAACGGTTTGTCTGTGGGGGGAAAGGGATTGTTAGCAATGGAGTTTGATAGCCCCATTGCTAGCAATATGCCCTATTAGGTCGACCTCCACGTGGTTCCCCCTGGAAACCATCGTGAACAATTCTTGTTGAATTCGTCACGATGGGCCAACTGACCCGCTTCATCCTCACCTATCATTCTTCACTGGTGCTCCGCCAGCGTATCCCGATAGCGCAGGCGGGGTTCCCATTACATTATCATCCATTAGAAAAGGGACTATTATGTTATTGACGGAGCAGAAAGAGGCAAAAGGAGTGTTATAGTAGGTTTAAAGTATAAATCGAGTTACTATTACTATTCCATTATCACCCATTAAAAAAAAAACGGTTTGGCTGTATATTTATTTGGACAGCACGCAATGACCGCTGCTTCAAATTGGATACTGTTTTCACAGATATATTCCTAAAGGTTTAATTTAAAATCTGACGTATGTTTTATCTTGATACGATTCTACTTCATTGGTTTACTTAGTAAAAACCACACATACAAAGTAGTGAATAAAAAAACAGAAATATAATTGTGATAATAATAAATGATTAATTTTAAACTTTCGCGTTGTTAACACATTTTAAATACACAATCGGGACCACCACCACGTCGTGGTCACGACAGTGCAATCCACGTCGAAACGTTGGCAATAAAGGAGCAGGTATGTAGATACTATTCATCTGCAAACGTTTTCTCATCGTGTTAAGC